AAATAATTATTCCATCGTCATAATTAAGTCTAAATTAGTTAATTCAAATGGCGTCAGATAACACATTTTACAACTTAAATCTCAAAAGATTTTAATTGTATTATAGTTCCATCATGGTTGCGGTGAGAGAACTGGTTGGTGAGAAATAACATTAAAAGTGTGTGAATATTAGTGTTACAATGGACAAGAAAACGGCCGAATCGAGTGTACCGGGCGGTCGGTACGGGCAAGTGCGGCGTGGCTATCGAGATAGGACCCCGGATACGTCCGCGGCGCCTACATTCGAAGAGCTACGAAATAGATTCGATACTAGCGCCTCTCGGGAGATTGCGGCGAACCCGGCAACTCACGGCAGCGCCATGCGACAAGTGGTGAGCGGGAAGGTTTTCAAGAAGTGCAAGAGCGCTACGTTCCAGATAGATGGCGCCACATATACTATCGGTAAGTTGGAGGCTTGGCACTTTTGCGCTGTAATTTGAATTTGTACTAAAGAGGGTGCTGTTATATTAAGGTTTATTGTAATAGAACTTTAAATTGGCGTCAGGCCATTTTTTCACGAAACCTTATGGTTTTAAATACGGTATTTAATTGTATTGTTTTTAAGTACTTTTATTTGAAAAGGCTTTTACCCGATTTACATTACTCCAGTCGGATGAATACATTCGCTTGATTACAACTGAAATGTAATCACAATAGAATCTGTTTACCGGATATAATATTTAGACGATAACGCATGATTAATTCAAGTTAACTGATATCCGGAAACAGATAATTATCACATTATAGCCGTTATAGTAATGTTTACTTCGTATTTGAATCTGCAACTCATTGATATACCCACAGACAATTGTAAATGACAGTATCAATTAATCTATGACACATTCAATTGCCATTATAATTGTTAGGAGCGCGCACATGTTTGACTAAACTATCGGACAACTCTTTAATCGCACTTTGATTCCTATGAACTTACATGGAGGTGCGCACACTTCTTTTAGTTGTGCAACTAAACAGTTGAATTAGCTGAGAAACAATCGACAATCGCACAACGGTTGTGCGATAGTTTAGTCAAAGGTACATGTATTATACTTATTGGATTATGATTATTATTGAGAAAGTCTACAATTAAAAGGAACAGATAAGAAAAAAAAAAGTAGACGCGACATCCTTAAAAATTAATTAAAACAACACAAGCAAACAATCAATAATAAAAGGCAATTTTATCTGTTTGAGCATTAATACAAAATAGAACATATTATATGACAAAAATAAATTACTTAGTATCTGGCTTAAAAGAATCAAGCAAAGTTACAATTCTTAATAAGAAAATTTGAAATATTCGCACAAATGAATATGTAATCTCCAGAAGCTGGCTTCAAATACGGAAATATAAAAATAAAGCTCGTTTCACTCACGTTTTGTTTCTCTCTTGAGACAGACTTTATGTAAATTGGCGCAAGTCTCTCTTGTTACGAAATATAGCCTTCTTAAATATGGAGCTAAAAAATTTCAAAACCATAAATAATATTATTCAAAATAATTATTAAAAACAACGTGACTTTTTACTATGGTTAGTGTTAGGTTAATCTTACTAATAATATAAATGCGAAGGTTTAGATGGATGGATGTTCGTTTGAGTTTGTAGCCTAAAATGTTGAAAAGATCTTGATGAAATTTAGTATGTATGTATGATGAAATTTGTACAGGATAGTCTAGAACACATTGGTACTAGTTTTTGTTTTATTTTATTCCATGAGGAAGGGATCGCGGGCAATAGCTAGTAATTAATTAAATGCAATATGCAATAAATTGAAATCTAAGGCGTAAAAAAGAATAATTAGTACTCGCTTCTAGAATATTCTGTTATTTACAATTCAAACTTGTGGTATTTTCGTTGATTTCTTTTTCTTATAGAGAATAGGCGGAAGACGATGTACGAAGCTAGAATTTGGTAGTATTTTTCTACTGTCATGGTTATAGCTTTCTTACGATTTATGAAGTAAGGAGTTATTATTCATACGAGTATAAATAACGTTAGGCATTTTCAAATTAATTTACATTGAACAAAAATTATTAAGCGATTGCAATTTAATACTGAATAACAAAAGCTTAAAATCCAAACATGCAAAATTTGAAATTTGAAATTGGAGTTTATGTCCAGTGCAGGCAGGAATTATGCCGGAAAATGGAAATGAGAGACGGGGAAAATTCCACGGTGAGCTATCTGGCTGAGCGATAAAACAAATCGTTCGTGCGGCCGCGGCTGAAATGTTGCCCGGACACGCGAGAGCCTGGTATAAAGCTTACTATACACGGACCGCGACTAGTTCGTATCAATAGTATTACCAGCATTGGGTAATCAGATGACTTAACGTTTACTAGTGGCTACAAAATGTAGTACCGACCGTTTAGAGATGTTAGTGTTGGAAGCAGTCCGTGTATAACAACCTGAAGACTGTAAATACTAGCAATTTAACTTCTGAATCTATTATTATTGTGTATTCATTGTTTATTAAAGTACTTCATGATTAAATACACATACATACACGCAACGGTGTGTAATAAATAAGGACTCTAGTTGGGTTATAGATCTTTTTTTAACAAAACACAAACGATATGTACAAAAATATCCGTACATGACATTTCAGAGTACAGCCGCTTCTAGGATTTTTACGCTGATATAAATCAGTGTAAAGCAAAACGAAATGGATACGTCGACGTGTGAGGTGAATGTAATTGTGATTGATGATCTAAATGTATATTAGATTATTTTAGACTAGTAAATGTATCTGAATATCGACATAACATATGAATTAGAAGCCTAAAAGCGGGTGTACACCTTTGACTTAACTATCTGCGATTGTCGATTATTTCGCAGCCAATTCAACTGTTTAGTTGCACAACTAAAAATTGAGTAGTGTGCGCACCTCAATGTTGCTTACATTAAAGGAATTAAAGCACAACTAAACAGTTGTCCGATAGTTTAGTCAAAGGTGAGCAAGCTCTTAAACGATAAACACCTATAACTAATGTAATTAATTTTATAACAGACTTTTTTATTGAGTCCAAATTCTTAATTGCAAATGTCAAAATTGTCGTCACCATAAAAACCTTGCTTTCTTAATGTTGGCAGCTTGTAGTTTATGGTCTTTTTCCTACATGCTGGTCTTTTTCCAATTTATTTACGCCCTAAGTTTATTAGCGTGAAATATATAGCCTCCAGCATGTCGTAAGTGTATGGCTTTTTATTAAAGAAAGAACTCTTCAAAAATATGCTGTGATTGCTGACATCCTACGCCACAAAGTAGTGTGTGTTCACGCGTTATTTTATTAGTGTAGATTTGTAAATCAAGCGTAAATCAGAATGCGGTGTATACCATTATAGGCACACATTAAACATTTTGATTGCGTACCCACTTCCCGAGTTATTTGTGTGGTCGACGCAAACATTCACGTCGATGGATTTACAAAAATTTCCACTCAAAAGGATACAAATCTCGATCGAGGAATGAGTTTATTAAAATGCTTATTACGTTTGCCTAAACATGAAAAGAATGAAATAAAAATTGCGGTAAAAATATAAGACATAATATATCAATTTGGATACGATTTTGCCTTTGACATCTCTTGTTTTGCGGAAAATGTTTATACAATTTATAAGTGACGTTGATTAAGGATTGGCAACGCATCTGCAATCGAGGATGTTATGGGCAGCGGTCGCTTCACCATTGCGGATTAAGGTGGCCGCTAGCTTGTTTGCCACCTTATGGTATGAGAAAAAGACTATATCCGAATTCCATGTACCGAATACATAGAGTATTCTAATATAAAAATAATATTTAATTGTATATTTTATCTTCTACAAGCTTTACTTAATCTTACTAATATTATAAGTGAAACAGTTTAGATGGATGTTGGTAGCCTAAACGGCTGAACCGATCTCTGTGAATTTGGCATAGATGTAGATAATAGGCTGGAAGAACACATAGGCTACTTGGCTACTCACTTTTTTAACTCCACGCAGACGGAGTCTCGGGCGAAAGCTATATTAATATAAATCATAAAAAAAAATCATCTTTTTCCAACTAAATCGGTTTACGAGTAACACATTTAGCTACTCTGATAGCATTAAGAATTTGTACAAATATTATTTCGTTACCTGTGTATTACATATGGTTTAAAATATAAAGCTTAAGAGCGCATTAGTGGCTCACGTAAGTTCAAAGCGAGAGCTTTTACCAAAGCTTAAGGCACTTATCCAGCTTTTCAATTCATTTAATTGCCCTAATATAATATCAGATTAAAATAGAGTGTGGCAAATAAGTTTCCTAAAAATAACCTTTTTGAAACTAGAGATAAAATAATTGTTCTCCGAGCTTAAAAGGTTAAAGCAATAGTCGCTATTCATTTGAAATTTTCCTATATTAAAAATGTCAAATTTTAGCAATAATGGTTATTAAATTACAAGTACGTTTAATCAATTTCCATGCCAGAGAATATTGTATTTAAATAACGTTAATTCAATATTTTACTTTTAAAGTTTAATAAAAGAAAACAATAAGCAAAAAGTCACGAGCACTCAATTTCAGCCAAATCTTAAGCCATGTGTTATTCTGCTGGATAAATTATCAGTTACTTTCACCTCTTATGCTGGGTTGCTGAAGTTTCTATTTATTTATTACCTAGTGATTCATTAGTGTTAGGTTAAACTATGTTTCATAGGCGTAAAACTCATGTTACATATTTCGGAAACACATTTCATGAAGTTAACAAACAGTAACGAATGCTTAAAAGTTGCTAGGATATCGGCCATTAGTACGCTGACTTAACATACTGGTTTAAATACGCCTACTCTTAAGATTTTAAATTTGCATATTTTGTTAAACTTAAAACGCCCAGCGCTAATCATGATTAGTAGCTACCTGTAGGCTAGCTGGCGGCTGAGCATGTGGCCCGCCAGCGACAGTCGCGCGCAGCCTGCCACGCGGGACGGTCGTGTGGTCACGCTATGCCGTACTCAACGATACGAGTACGAATTGCCGAAAAATAATTCGCGATTATTCGTACATCATAATCATAACTCACAATTAATTCAAGTAATTTAATTTAATACAATTAAAAATAATTGGTATTTTAATTCATTTCATTACATGTTAGAAGCTTTTAAACTGTACGAATTTCTTAACAGTCAAAGATTCGGGACCACCTGTTGTTAGCGATTCGTAATAGTCCGGAGAACGTCACGATCTGTTTACAAATGGGGGGCGCCCCCACCCCCTAGCGGACCGTGACGCAACATTTTATGGGTACCCTGTGTGAGCGTTACTATGGCGGAAAACATTCGAAGCCGCGTGAAAATAGATTTCCGTGTTTCCACCTGACTAATGCCAAACATTCATTACACGGTTCTGACATAGCCGGGTAAATAACGACGTGTTTGAAAAACTACGCGCCCATACGAGTTGAGTTCGCAGCAACGGCCGGATGCACTTGGATGAGTTTTTGAATCAAACTTTTGACAAACATTTCATCTTGTTTTGAAATGATATAACACTATTAGCGTTACTTTTTTTTTTAAATACAAAAACAATCATTTTGAAACATCTTATATTAACTAGGATATTATCAGTACCGCGTCTTCGATGAAATTTTATTGTAAGGTTTCAAAACTGTACCTTCGATTTAGGGCTTAAGGAACCATATCTAGCTATCCTAGGATATGGCAAATGAAATGCCTAATTATAACTACTATCACCATATATTCTAATTGTTGTAACAATCTCACAAACGGCTATAATTATAGATATTAGAAGGTATTACGAAAACTTACTTAAAGACAAATAATTTTTGTGATATAAGTCGTCTACCCAGTTAAAGATACGAGTAGTAAAAAGGAATCTCTATTTAATTATAGTAATTAGATCATTATCGTATCGAATTTTAACACTTAGAAATCTTCCTCGCATAGAGTAGGGTGCGCAGAAGAAACATACTTGTACCTTTAAAGAAACTACACTCCTATTAGTCGCGGAATAAGATTTCAAGCTGTTCAGACACACTTTAGACATAAAACGTATAGAAAAATGTAACGCCTTTGTATGTACTAACTTTCCTTCCAACAGTAAACCAATGAAAATGTCTGCCGTGCTGTTTGTTTATGCGACACGGCTGTTCCATATCAAAACACAATTCAAATAAACATATCTAACGTAGTGATTAATCTTAAGTGATTTGTGTATTACGTTTGTGAACTAAACATTGTGAAGGTATTGTACAATATCGTGACGTGACTTGTGAGATTGACGGATCAAACTGAGTGATAGCGTGTGATGTGATGATGCGGCGAGGGAAAGCGCTGCTAGAAGGCAGCCGGCAGGGCTCTGTCGACGGCAACAGTAACGTGGCCAATGACAAGGAATTGGTACACAAGTGTCACAGTGACCCGGGCGGGGGTAGAGCGTTGGGCGCTATACCGAGAACGTATAGACATCGGTCAGCGTCGGGCGCTTTGAGGAAATGCGTCCTGACATTAGATGGATACTCGTATGTTATAGGTAAGTTAACATAAGGACCTTAGACACTAAAGCAGAGGTTCAACTATTTCTCTATTGTTTCCTTTCAAAAATTTTACGGTTAGGGAAGCACCGCATTTACAATTGGGTTAAGGAGGCCGTGGAAAATAAATGTAGTTAGATTTGCCAGCTTTTTGAATACTACATAAAATTGTAGCTTTTATGTATAATAATAAAAGTAATAAACAATATGGATATCACAAAAGTTAAATAACTCAAACTTTACTTTTCAGGATAAATAAGTAAACGGAACAAAACCGACTCATTATGAGAAAACAAAAACTTTCCTCTCCTTGTTTTAATTTACTTCACTTGATTTTTCTTAACTGTTTTATTTATATAACTTAGATCAATATTCGTGCTTCAAGTTTGTTAAATAATTTACCTTATTTCGCATTACATTAAGTTTCAGAATTAAGCGAAATTAAATTTTACTTATTCAGATTAAACTGCGATCAAGTATCAAGTTATTAATATAAAAAAAAAAACAGTTTATTGTATCTCAAAAGCATGCATTTAACTCAAGCATAATAAACCCTGATTCATGCGTTTACATTCAAAGTTTACTTTTCCAAGCAAAAGTTAATTAGACACAAATAAACAGTGGGTATTGTTGTGCGTGAGCTGTTTCTTTGCGTTTGCAAGAATAATGACGAACGATGCCGGATGCGTCACAGTTTACATTTAAAAGGTATACCACGTCAGAGACTAAATAAGACATAGCTCTAAAACAAAGCGAAACATTTAACGTATTTAAATATAAATCTTCTATAGCATTTTTATAAAATGTACGTCCGATTTCTGTTTAGACGCGATAAGCTCGAACATTACTGAATTAAATTTCATACGACTTTCACCAATAAAGAGTGGCTTTATTTGCCTCAGTAGAAAACTGTCTGAAATATTTTGATATTGAGAAACTAACTTTATTCTAGAAGCAAATGGCGATATTCCAAATAGCATTGTCCTAAAATAACACAGTAAAACTGTTTCTACTAATTTAAATAAGATATTCAAAGAGATACAGTATTGGAGAGTCATCATCATGTCCTTACGAAGGGTCGACATATTATATGTTGCTCTTCTGATTTGGAGATTGAAAGAGAATATTTGAAGTTCTCTTTGTATTTAATCATATTTTCAATACATTACTGTTCGGTATACATTCAGACTGATTTCGAAACCGTCCTTGATGAGGTCGAGTTGAAATTGAAGAACTCAATTCCACACAACAGTCAATTCTTGTTGTAGTCTTTTGTTTATCGAAATAAGCAAAAAATCATAAAGTTAGCCTATGCGTCGTAGTTTAACTTGTATGTGACTTGAAAAATTTATGTTCGCTTTTTCTTATTACTCAACTTGTGATAGAAATAGCTTAGCTTAACAATTTTTTTTTAATAAAAATCTTAAGCTAAACTAACTGTGAAACATATTTGTTTAAGTAAATTTTTATCTTTTTGTTAGAATATTTTCTTTTGAACTTAACTTTATAAGATCCATGTCTGAAAGTGATAGATAAAAAGCTATCCGCCTGCTTGAAATAGACTTTTGAAAGATTATGATCCATCTTCGTCGCTTGCTTGAGAAAGAAATTTTATCAATGACAGTAAATCGTTTTATTTAGATCGACCTAGTTTTGAATCAATAGAAAATTTCCTTCAGGAAAGAAATTGGTAAATCTGTCAATTGGCCAATTTCACCATCTAGAAGACTAGTAAGTTTTATTGAGACAAAAAAAATTTTTATTTACTAGTATTTCAAACTAAAATGTCGCATCACATCGCATTATTATTAGGATACGAAGAAATATATTAAAATCAGCTATGAAACATAAACACATATAATATATAAATAATCGATCATGTACACTGTATCGATAATTTCAAGTAAGCGGAAGTCACCAATGCGAGCGGAAGTGAGCAAGCCTCCACACTTACAGCGCTGTAATTCAATCATAGATTATTGAATCAACCCCATCGTACCCTTTGACGTTGGAGTGCTAAGTAATTTTTAATGTAGGAATGTGACTAGATTCAATTACCACATTTCTTTATTTAAAAATATTCTCATAAATATAAAATGATCAGGTCTACACTATAATGAACAAATATGATGATAAAAATACTCCAGTCATCTGTTACCTAAAACACAATGGGTTTTCATTTCAGGTAGTTTCATTTTTGTTTTATTTTTGACAGTAAATAAAAGAAACAAAACAATGCCTGATTTATAACATAGCGTATAGTCTATACGTTACTGCAGAATTACATGTACTTATTTTTCATTTAAAACTATTAGAAATATAGCCAAACAATATTCTGCTGAATCAAAACCGATTGCAACGGAACACTCAGATCCTTGACATTTAGCGTAACCTAACTCAATGTAAGACAATAATTGTATAGTACGTTAACTCTAATTATGTAGAGATAGTTCCACCAATGCAATACAGCGGTATAGTGATGTTACAGTAGTGACGTCATCACTTATCTATATGATACCGTTATCAGATAGGCGTGATGTAGGGTTAATCGAACGCGTTTGTTAGTTTGATTCACCGACGGGCCTCACACGCGGATAGTTCACACTACAGGATGTTCTAAACTATACTATTATAATAAACACACACTTCTTTGTTTCCTAAGATGTCAGCAGTTGCAGCATATTTTTGAATAATTATTTTTTTAATAAAAAGCCTTACACTTACGTCACGCTTTAGGCTATATATTTTCACGCCATTAAACTTAAGGGGTAAATGTTTTTGATAAAAACTATAATGTGGGAAAGAGACCATAAGTTGCTGCCAACATCAAGGAAGCAAGATTGCCAAGCTTTGTCATGTCATGTCATTTTGACATTTGCAATTGACAATTTGACACATGTAAATAATAAAACAATTTTATGTTGATGAAATCGCACGGGAACAGTTAGTCCTCTTATAAAAACTCTAACGCATATCTATTTCTATTACTCTTCAATAATTTAAATTTTGTTAGTTATCAAGCTTTTATTTATTCAAAGTGACCAGAACTACGAGTATTAGGCTACTAAATATTTAGGTTACGTTTTTATTTATTTTGGTGCAGTGAGTGAGAAGTATTACAGATTTTGTTAACATCCTGTATATTGTACTCGAAATACAGTCAATGCATAACAGTTTTATTTTCTACATGATTACAAAGCTGTTTAAGCTTGCATTGACACCATCGTTTGATAAATGTTTTTATAACGAAATATTTGTTTGTACGTTCGCTAGAGTGGGTTTAGAAAATTGTACTTTAAAATAATTACAGGAAGGGTGATAATTCTTTGAAAACGTTTAACCATACAATAATAAGAAAGAATATTTTTACAAACTTTTTTCAATTTTAAATACGGAAACTAGACTAAGTTGTAGATTGCAATAAGAACTTGAATTGTCCAAGTTGTAGAAAGAAAAACAAACTTTAATTAACTCTTGTAAAAATTGTTCAAGGTTTTGCTGAGTACTTAATTAAGTTGTAATTTCTAGCTTGAGTGATTAAATTTCTTTCTTTTAATCTTAATACTTCGGATTTATGATTTACATTAAAATTTATTTACGTCTTGCTAACCCAGTTTTGCTTGATATATTTATTTAAAACATAAACAGACTTCATTTTTGCTCGACCCGAAGATTGAAGTTTTTTTTATCTAGTTAGACATGATTATAGATATTTCAAAGAAAAGCTGACATGACCAAAAAGAGAGTAATTGAAAGATGGATGGATATTTGTTAGAAGATATCTCCAGAACTCCTCGACAAATATCAATGATATTTACCACAGAGTCGCTAACAAAAGCTAGTGTTACATTCATTTTTACATGTAACATATAACACTCGACCTACATGTAGCAAAATACATGTTAAATCTAATTGGTTTAGTATTTCTCAAGTTGCACAATTCTTTGCAAGCGTTAATTTATTATTATAACTTAATTTAAACGCAATAGATGCCTAGCTAGATCGAAATCCAGTCGCATTGTATCAAATCATTTATAGTGTTAGCCACATTCCGTATACGGCAACTAGTATAGTAGCCACTTTAATATTGACTAAATAAAATTATTGATCAAACCATTTTAAACATTCTAGCTTAGAGAATAAGGTTGATATTAGATTAAACGGATTATTGTGCGACTTGTGCTAGCTACATTTAAAACGGTGTCAGAATTACCTGCACTTGTAAGTTGTTCAGATATGAATTAATTCACAAGCCTCAAATTATTGACAATCGTACATTAGTTTATTGCCTTTTAGTGGTCATTAAGTCTTGTATTTGATATAAAATAGTTTTAGAAAATGAACATTTAATACCGTAGTATAAATATTAAAGAAGTCTTTGACGAGTAAAATACCATTTTACTTGTCATTTGTTTTTTTCTCGATTATGTTTTTACTTGATATACCGAGATCTCTATTTCTTTAGAAATTAAAAAGACTGAAATCCAAAATTACATTTTGATATTCAACTCTTTGAAAATGTAAATGAAAGCATCTACGTATACATACATATACATAAAAAAGTTAAATACAGTACCTTATGTGTTCTTCCAGACTATGCCAAATATCATCGAGATCTATTCAGTCATTTAAGCGGCAAACTCTAACAAACATCAATCGATCTAAACTTTTGCATTTTTAATATTAGTAAGATTTATTTGGTTTTTCATTAAAATAAATAAACATTACTTCATACAAATAAAGTTTTATAGTTCTAAACTCAACTACTTAAGTAAATACTTCAAGTTTACTACAAGAATTCAACTTTATTTAAACTTATCATCGAAAATTAAATCTAAATCTTCCTAATGTTACTATTATAAATGCGAAAGTCTAGATGGATGGATGTTTGTTAGAGTTTGTAGCCTAAACGACTGAACGGATCTGAATGAAATTTGGCATAAATGTAAAACATAGTTTGGAAGAACACATAGGCTATTTACTTTTTTCCACACGGACA